GTACCAGATGTTCTATTAATAACTCAAAGCATTTGTGGCACAAAAAATTATATTCATAAAATTTGTATTGACCAACATAAAATATTGTAAGTAGAAGTGGCAATGGTACCAAACACAACCTATGTTAATAGGTGCAAATGATGCAAAGCTCATGTATAGATAGAATAGTCCCTTCCTCATTGGGTCAAATCATGAATTGGAACCTCAGTTGAAAATAGGGATGGCAATTTTCTTTGCCCCTGCCAGGTATTTGGCTTCCCCAACCCAATGGGCTTGGGGTGGAGATTGCCTTGGTGGGGATGGGAGTATGGGACGGGGATGGGGATAATTTCCTGCCCTACCACGATTCTGATTCTATATATTAAATTATACATATATAATATTATTTATATTATATATCAAAATATACTTAAATATTTTTATATTTAAAAAAATTCTTATTTTAAGTAAGTCTATTTTCTAAAAAGCTTTTAATTTTAAATTTTCAGGAATTTTAGTCCCTAACGAGTTACTGTCTCTATTGGGGATCAAAGATGGAAATTCGTTTTTATCCCTAGTGAGGACCGAGAATTCGAGATCAAGGACAAATATTTGATTCAAAGTCGGAGTTGAAGATGGAGAATACATATGATCCCTGCCCCATTGCCATTCCTAGTTAGAAAATTGAAGTGCCAATGAGATATCAATTCTTTATGTTGAAAGCTTAGTGGAATGGAATAAAGATAAACTTGGCTTTCTTCAGAAAATTTGTTCTTTTTTCTGTCATAACAAAAGAGAGTCATAGGAACATCTTTTCTTCACCTGCCACTATGGATTAATTCCCAAATTGGTACCAATCCAGATGACATTCATAATAAAAATGTTGCACCAGTTTGTGGAAGAATGCAGAGAATGCAAGCTGAGTCACCTACGTATAGACTAAAGAGAAAGTGAGAAACAGTCAATATTAATAGTCAAGTTTTTTATTCTTTATCAGACTAATATGGAATATTATAAACGAATGTTCACAAAAACAGGGTCCTAAACCCTACATAGTTGGTAGTTTTTTTGGATAATTGCAGTGGACGCATGAGATCAAATCCCACTATTGGGGTTAAGGGTATTGGGGATAGGTAGAGATGTCAATGTGCCAGATTAAATAATAAACCCGACTTGATCCAACCTTATGGGGTCAAGTTAGTGCTAGACATATTCAACTTTGGGGTCAGGTTAGGGTTTTGGTTCTTTGGCCCAAGTCAGGTTTGGGTTTTGGCTGACCGGGCGGGCTCATTAGGTCATGATACCCCTTGCGTAAATACGGTGTTTTCTTGTAACTTTTTGATATCCAGTTACCTATTGATTTTGATCATACCATAGAATTTATAAAACAAATTCCTAACTTAGATTAATGGATTTAAAGTTTGAAAATGTATTAAAAATATAATTGAAATGCTATAGGTCGCATTGGGTTAGTGTTGGGCTAGACCCTATAGTGTCGGATCAGGTTTGAAGTTGTGTATTTTTGAGTTAGATCGGGTTAAAGTTGAGACAAATTTATGCCGAACCCAACCCATGGACATCCCTAAGGATGGGCCGCCCTCATCCTGTAGACCCATGGAGCAACCAACCCTATACAGTTGGTAAAGGGTGGATATTTATTTACCAAAACAGCCAATATAACAAATTAAAGCAACTCACAGTGTATATGCAGGAAGCTGAAGAGTTGTTTTCTTTAAAAATTAATAAATTATTAAAAAAATAAAATATATTAATTCAAATGAAGTAAAAACAAAAAAATATAAGTATTTTTTAAATTATTTTCATTATATATATATATTTTTTATAAAAAATAAATAATATAATAAATTTATAAAAAATATATTTATAAATAAATAAATAATATATATATATTATATTGATATTTATAAATATATAATATATATTGGATCAAATCTTTTCTGATCGGATATGGAGATGATCTGAATCTGATTGAATCGATCCGAAGATCCAAATGCGATCAAATAGAATGAGATCTTGGATCGAATCATGAAATGATCCATTTGCACCCCTACCGTTGCCATCCTTATAATTTATACACATATTATATAAATATCATATATAAAAATACTATATATATATTTACAATTTTTATACATTAAAATAACAAGCCCAGAATCAGGCCGGGCCCGCCCCCGCCTAGGTCATAGCCCTTGTCACGGCCACGGGTGCAAAGCCCGGACTGGCCCATGATTACCCCTGTCTTGTTGTATTGCTGCGGCCCCCACCTTGCCTGAAGCTGAATAAGATGAAGTGACGTCGTGGTAGAGTGGAGCCACACGGCCTATGTCATGGCCCCACCATATGACATGTCGGAGTTCGGATTTTCTCACGGGTCACAGCTGGCGTGTGCTGTGAAGAGGAAATCCGAATGGCAAAACCGCAAAAGTAAACTCTCATCACTTACCTGAAAAGCATGGATTGTGTGAAACTGAATGTGGATGCCAGCTTTATATGAAAGAAAATCAAAATCTCAAAAGCGTTGACTTGATGTATTGGTCAGCTTTTTACACTGTAACTGTGTAGAACTTTCACACAAACCATCAGATTGAAATCTTTTCACCTTGATCAGTTCAGAAGTAAATCTTGACCGTACGTACAATTATGGCAACCTTTTTCTTTCACCAACCCATCAAAAGTTTCCTTCAGAGCCCAGAGACGTGAAAAGTAAAGTTAATGCACGGAATACATCAAATTTTCGTATCCACCACGAATCTTGTTCTGCCCGCCAAATAGGTCAAATTAATTTGACACGTGTCCTGATTGTTACGTTAAATGTGAAAATTAGTGCAAGTTATGACAAGAACCTGACACGTGTCAGAATCAGGCTGCTCCTCGTCGAACGACAGAAAATCTTTTTATTAGTTAAAAACACCGCAATCAATGCTCTCCGTCTGGTTCTCTTGTCTCCATGCCTTGCGGCAGTGACTTTTTGTATTTCTAAACTTTCAACCTCAAATCAATTTTCCAAAGGTAATTTACTTTGGATACTCCTCATACTTTTACATATTAATTTCAGTCTATCTTTTATTTTCTTATATTATTAAAATACCCCTTTTGGTTTGTAATTATTTACTTATTCAATTTTTGGGTAGGATCGATTTATATTTCATTTGGAAATGGCCATTTTTTACTTCTTAGATTTATTTCATTTTTTGACAAATGGATAAATTCGAAAATTGTAGGGATCAAAGACACGGAGAGGATGATATTTTGTCCATCCTGCCCCGACCCGGGCTCCAAACCCACCCGACTATATTATATAATACTTAATACGATATATAATCGTTAATATATGTTATATTAAATTATAATATTTATATTCAATTATATTATAATACATAATATGAAATAGTTTTAGGTAAGTTTAAAAAAAACAATAAAATAATTTTATAAGTATATAAGTATGAATGTTCGGGGTGGGGTAAATTTGGGGATCCCCATTTTCTACAATGATGGGAATGGAGTTGAAATTTCTAGCTCCGATGGGGTTTGGGTTGGAGACGGGGCAAGGCATTTGATTTTGGGGTTAGGGATGGGGTAGGCAAAACTTAGCCCTACCCTGCCTTGTTGTCATTCCTAGTAGTTTTTGCCATTTTTTATTAATTATAAGTTTAATGATGAATTATTTTTGGGATTGTAGTCGATAAGGACAACTTCTAGGTACTAATATCAATAAATTTTTTTTAACATAATTATTAAAATAAGCTAACTTTTCTAAAAAATATCTTATAGAGGCAAAACATTATTCATCTCATTCCTCCTTCAAACCCATGAACAAATCTCTCCCAATATTAACAAATATTGATCACATATCTCTATTTTTTTGTTCACCCTTATAGTTGCTAGCTTGCTGCAAGCAAAAATGGTAAAGCCCACTCTTGCGATTTTGCATTTCATTATGTGTATCTTGCTTCTCCTTATAGACCTCTTCCATTCCCGATTTTCAAGCTTTAATGACGTCCAAAACTGCTTCAAATACATCTAACGGACTTAGTAATTGGAACCAAACTGTCAATTCATGTACCTGGTACGATGTTTCATGTATTATTCTAATTGCTTTAGAAGAATAACTCATAACAGTTCTACTATGGGTTTGGAACAACTAAGATGCAGAGAAGAAGAAGAGAAAGAGAAAGATAAAGAGAAAGAGAGATCAGAGGTTGGGAGATTTATTCAGTGGTCTAGAGGAAAAAGGAGATGTATGAACAATGTTTTCTACCCCTATTTGATATTTAAAAAAAAGTTGTCATATTCTAAAAACTATATTAAAAATATTATTTTAATTGATATTAAAGCATCAAAAATGCCCTTATCAGCCATAATCCCATTATTTTTCCGTGATACCCATCTCTTGTGGATAATTTACTACTTGGAGGAAGTTAACAATTATCCCTTCTAATAATTGCATTTTATGGATAATAATTATCCATTTTAATAAGTTTTATGTAAATGGCTTACTAGAAAACAAACGAGACCTTTTTAAAGCAAATGAAAAATGTGAAAGGAAATAGACCTAAAGTTTTTTATTTCAATAATACCCCTAAAGAATTTTCTTATTATACATGATCCACCACTTTTTCAAACAAGGTTATAATGTGGAGAGAGGGGTATATTTTTCTTAAAATATTTATTAGGGTTATTTTTGAAATAAAAATCTCATATTTTCGACTTTTCTTAAGAGGTTGTGGCTTCCTCATAAACGGTCAATTTATTTTAGTAATATATGCAAGTTAGAGGGTTGGTTTTAGTAAATATGTAGAAGAATAGGGGTCTAGAATTAATGACCCATTTTTTCACTTGCAACGTCTTTTTGAGATGCGCATTCACTCCCCCGCGCAGAATAGCAACGTTGTCGCTGATGGCACGGTGATAAAGTGCCAAGCGGGAAACAACCAAGCGCTATCCTGCGCATCATTGTACTGTAAATCCCTGCAACTGCAACAGTTGCTATCAGTTACAGCTCAAACTAAGAAGCAGTTCTCATACTAGAAAACAAATGAAATTAATTGCGTGAAGAAAATCACTCCATAGCTTCACGAGCCGAAAGACGATTTTTTAATCTTCACGAAAATTCACAAATCCACTCATAGACCGGATTACGTTGCCCTTTTTTTTTTTTCTCTTTCTGAATCTAACCTGGAAACTTCCGTGGTTTCTTAAGTCTGTTCCCTTGCAATCTCTTCTTCGCTAAAACCTTCACTCATCTCGCACCTCCCCTCGAAAGTTGAGCTTTTGGTTTTAAGAAGGAACTGACTGAACCTGCTTATTTCGTCAACTTTGTTGATTTCTGTATGGTTGCTAAGGTACTGTTTATATTTTTTCGCATTTGTTACTATTTCTGAGCTCTTATAGGTTTCTTTTTGATAATGTAGTTTCTTTTGTTGCCCGTGAAGGTTTAAAGGATAGGGTTTCTGCGCGGAGGTTTTGGTTGGACTAGCGTTCAATGATTCTGGACTGATCTATTTTGCCGTGGACTCTCGGACCGGTCAAAATGTTTGGATTCTCCCGAAGGCGGATGAAGCTTGGGAGGTGAGTTTTTTTTTTTTTTTTTTTCTTGTTTCGTTTTTGTTTTTGATCCTTTTGTTGATGATCTGGAAGAGGCGTTAGTGGAGATGAAATGCATACAATGATGCTGGAGTTTTAGGTTCAGACTTTCAAAATGTGGGAAGAAAATGAGTTATATTTGTAAACATAAAATTGAAGCTATATGGTTAAACCTTTAAGCTGCGAGGAAACTGCGTTCTAATGTTGTGCCTTAGTGCTCGAATGAGTTCCTGGAGATTAATGCTAGTCAACGGATTAGGGAACTCGAGTTTTGCGGTTACTGTTGGCGATATTTGTAGCCAGAAGAAATAGGGGTTTGGTCCATAGCTTCATAGAAACCCCTTCTTTTGTTGGTGTGGTTGTACTGTTTTGCTGTTTCTTATAGAATCAAATAATGCCATTTTAGACTTTACTGAGAGGGTGAGAGTGCATAATAACTTGCAATGGTTGAAATATCTAGCACTTTATGTTTTGTTTGAGATGTTTCTGGCATTAGAACCAATTAGTTGCATTAAATTTCACATTACTTGTCTGTGACTGTGTAAAATGCTGCTATCTATTTTTACAGGGTAGCTTCATGTAGCTGGTTCATTTTTAGTTGTAGAGGTTAAGTTCAAAAGTGTCTGATGGAGTCCTATTGATATGGTGTTCTACATTTCACTTGTAGCATTGGTACATGGCACTGGTTGAAATCCTTGCTAGGTTTTATGAGGCAAAACACCATTGAATAACTGATATAGGCTAATTGTGGTTCTTGATTTGGTTATGGTTGGGGGAGCAAGTGGTAAAGAAGACTCTATTTTGGTTATAACTGTAAAACGATGTTATTAGTCTTTCCAGATTTTAGTTCCTTGTTATTAAAAATTCTACAAAACAGTTGTAAGGCCAGAATGCTGTATGGAGCAGGGTTTGGGTAGTCAAGAAAAAACATTTTAAAAAAGTATGTGGCAGATATGCATTTGCTGAGATGGATGAGTGGAAAAACTAGAAAGGATAGGATAAGAGATGAAATCATTCAATGGAACCTAAGAGTAACTCCAATAGGAGATAAAATGAGAGAAAATAGACTAAGATGATTTGGTTATATGCATAGAAGACCATCTATTACAGTTGAATGGGCTAGAAGTAGGGGTGCTCACGGTTCGGTTAACCGAACTATGGGCCTATTTTTGAAACCGAACCGGACCTACCGGTTTCTGGAATACCGGTAACTGAAACTGAACTGAAGCCGATTGGTTTACTGGTTGACCCGTTCAGTTAACCATCGGTTCGGTTCGTTGTTTTTTCTGTTTTTTATATTTATAATATATATTATAAAAACATATAAATATATAAAAAAATAGAAATATATATGAAATATTATATTTTAAATAATAAATAATATATTATATATAATGCATATTTACCCGTTCAGTTAGCCATTGGTTCAGTTCGTTGTTTTTTCTGTTTTTTATATTTATAATATATATTATAAAAACATATAAGTATATAAAAAAATAGAAATATATATGAAATATTATATTTTAAATAATAAATAATATATTATATATAATGCATATTTATTAATTTATAATATATTGAAATTATAAAATATATATATATATATATAATATACAAAAATATATATAAAATACAAAAATATATATAAAATATATAGAAATATATGTATACCGGTCAGTTTGGTTAACCGCCAGTTTTCTATATTGTTTAACCGAAACTGAATACCTTCGGTGTTTTTAAAGTACCGAACCGACTGGTTTGGTTAACCGGATTTTGGGTTCGGTTTCAGTTGGTTTTCGGTTTGGTTCAGTTTTTTGGTTTTTCTTGCTCACCCCTTGCTAGAATGGATGGGAGTAGACGCAAAGGGACATTAGTTGAAGTGGTAAGAAATGATTTAAGCAGTCATGATTTAACAATGGATATAGCACTAAGCAAATGGAATGGTGAAATAGGATTCATGTAGCCAACCCCATATAATTGAACGAGGCTAGATGATCATTAAAAATTCTATTACATGTCTGATTGGTTATTGCTCCTGGGAACTTGGATTTTTTTTCTTTTCATTCAAAATGCATGGTTTGTGGGCTGCTTTCTGTGTATTCATACAATGATACAATTATGGCTATATATGTTTTCTTTTTTATCTTTTTTTTTTCACACACAGAACATAGAAAGTAACCAAAAAAAATTCCTCATAACTTTGAAAGGAAAGATTTAATAATTTTACAATGTGATATCTCTAATCTCATTAATATCTTGCATCAAGGTTGAAAGTCCAGCTTTCAGATTCTACTCAGGGGACTAGAAGTCCTATAAGACCAGCCAAGCGCGTCGGCCATTCAAATGTAAGACTTAAAACCTACTCGCATATGGTTTTGTACCCATAAGATGTGCATTAATTTCTAATGTTTGCAGGGAGAAAACACTGCACCTACAAGCAGTCATACTGATGAACTTAACTGCCAGTGTTCTTCTCGATCTGAAACTGATAACCGCACACCAGGAAACTCTGAGAATTGGATGGTGTTGTCAACCATAGGAGACAAACCTAAGCCTCGATTCAATGTGCTAATATTCACAACTCTTCATTCTTAGTTTGCCTTACAAAGTCTGCTGTTTAAAAAATAATTGTCTGTAAAATATTCTTCTAAAGGCTAACCTTATTTTATTTTTCTCGATATAGCATGCAGCAGCTGTAATTGGGAACAAAATGGTGGTAGTTGGTGGTGAATCAGGTCATGAATTGTTAGATGATGTCCAGGTAAAGGGATGCTATAGTTTCTTTTAGGTAGTGTGTTACATGAGAAGGGGGTTAGGTGGGTAAGGGGGGACTGCAGATCAGTTAGCCTTAACTTTCATCTAATTATTTTTCTTTTTGTTGTATGTCTCATACATTTTCTGGAACCTGCTAAGTATTTTCTTTTGGCTGCTTGTTCAGGTACTCAACTTTGAGAGATTTACCTGGACTACTGCTTCATCAAAGCTTTATCTATCACCAAGTAGTCTGCCACTGAAAATCCCTGCGTGCAAAGGTCATAGTCTGGTATAAATCTTTTAGCTTCTAACTGCTAGATTCTCATATCTTGTCCTTTCAGATCTTCCATCTCTCTCTCTCTCTCTCCCTCTCTTTAATTTCCTATGCCTTTCTATTAAATACATTCTTTAAATGTAAAATAACAAAACCTTTTCTTGTCCAGATATCAGCCTGATTAAACATACACTTTATTAATCAGCCATTGCTTAAAATTAGATGATAACTAGCCAAATTACACCACACATAATGGAATGGGTAGCTTTTATAACAGCTAGCACTGAAAATTGTGTCGGTTGCTTGCTTCAACCAGGTTTCTTGGGGTAAAAAGGTGCTTCTGATTGGTGGAAAAACTGACCCAGCAAGTGACAGAGTTTCAGGTGGTTCTTTGTATTATCACATTCGGAGGTGACTCATTTGTTTTATCTGTCCCATGCTAAATTTCATCTTTCTTTTTGGGTTTTGCAGTATGGTCTTTTGATACAGAAACAGAATGCTGGTCACTTATGGAAGCAAAAGGAGACATTCCGGTATTCAATTTAACTTAGAGGATGAGAATTTACAAAGTTTTTGTGAAATTTTTTAATCAAACAAAACTGCATGTTTTTTTTTTTTTTGATTTTTTTATTAATAACTGAAGTGAATTCCTGAGATAAAACAGAATCACAATATTAAAACAGAGCCCAAAATAGATGATTCATTCCCACCCCTTGTTTAGCCAGTGCATCAGCAAAGGAGTTAGCATCTCTTTTCACCCAATGCAGATTAACTTCTATTCCTTGTGACAACCACTTAAATCTTTTTTCACTAATACCCACCAACCAGCCTCCTCCTTTTGCAGCCAGCTTATAATCAGCTTTAAATCCCCTTCAGTTATCAGTTTATGGATATTCATTTCCTTGGCCTTTTGAACTCCTTCTGTAACCACCAAAATTTCAGCCTTCTGAGAATCACCCACGTAAATAGGGCCTGAAAAACGAGCAATAATTCTTCATCATTTTTGAAAACACCTCCAATGCATGAGGGACTCGGATTTCCTTCACTACTTCCATCAAAGTTCGGTTTTATGAATCCACTAATTGGTGGAGACTAAGAAGGCCTAATGACAGCCTTGTGGGGAGCTGAATCAGCCACTTCCTTCCACTTTCTCATCAGGTCAACAGCAGGGATATCCTCAAAACCCAATGGACCACCCTACTACTCCCTTTTTTGAAAATGTCCTCAAGTTCCTTTCTTCCCATATTATCCAACAAACTGTTGCTCTTGTACACCTCCATAATGTTCTTCCTCTCTTCTTCTAGCTAGCAAAAGTACGGGCAAAACAAGCTTTGTACATTGGGCAAGGGGTTTCACCTGCACCCAATCAAAGAGAGAAACCATACCCAAATTGAAGAAACAAAGGGATAGGAGATTAATAAGTTATATAAAGTCTCATTGTTAGCCTTACAAAGAAGACACCGATGGGGATAAGCACCAATTAGGTCCCTTTCTTTGGAGTAAATCACAAGTACTAATTCTTTCCAAATACACATTCTTGTAGAAACCTCCTATCCTATGCGGAAAAAAACTTACTCCAAACCTCTTTGACCAGAAAATCCAAACCAAGACTATCACCATACTGTATTAAGGACTAGAAAAAAGGCACAAGTGAAAGATCCCGAAGAGGAAAGAGTCCAAATGCTACTATCTCTTCTTAGAAGATCCAAGAAAACCCCTTCAAGACCTTGGAGCAATGTTAAAACACTACTTATTTTAGAGTCACACAAGCCTCTTCTTAACCCCAAGTTCCAATCAAACTCAAATCTTGAATTGGAAGGAACCACAACCAAACATGTTCCCAACAATGGTATAAATGGAATACTTATAAAAAAACAATGCTATAAGGGGAAGGGCATTGCTCTTTCAAGGATGAGTTGCCCAACCAAACATGTTCCCAGAATTTTACAAGTTGACCAAAAAAGGCATTATACCTGATGTGTTGCAGGAAAAAAACGTAGGATGGCATGAGTGGGCCTCCAAGGAGATGCTCTTGTTGCCCAAACCAAAACTCTAGCATCTCAGCCATCAGCTGCAATCCCATGAATGCTAATGATCACGTTTACCCACACTTTGTCTCTGGCAATTGGCAACCTCCATAGCCACTTACTAACCTCCATAGCCGCTTGTCTAGCAAGGCAACATTCCTCTCCTAAATATTCCCCAATTCTAAACCACCAAACTTCGTACTTCTTTTAACCACGCCCCAACTTACTTTATGGTCCTTTTTATCCTCCCTTAGCTCTTATAAGAAATCCCTCATAAACTTTTCTAGCCTTTTACTAATCTCTTTTGGAATCCTAAACACAATAGGTAATAAACTAGCAAGTTGAGTAAAGTTGACCTAAATAGTACGATCCTTCCTCCCAAAGGCAAGCAACTTCTCTTCCACGAAGCCAATCTCTTCGTAAATCTTTTATTTTTTGATGAATAATCTCATTATAAATCTTTCAATCACAGGGTTCTAGAAGTTAATACCTCTTGGGTTATCCTCCAAAGGTAGTCCCAAATAATTCATAGGCCATTGAGAAACCATACATCTGAATATTTCTCTTTCCTCCATATTCAAACCCACAATACAACTTTTATCAAAGTTGATTTTCATATTGGATATTTGTTCAAAGATGAGTACACTTAGGTGTATGATATTGATTATGCTGAGTTGTTTTCCGGTTTCCTCGATACAAAAATGAACTTTATTTGAGTCCTTTTGTTAGTTGCAAATCTGGATTGGGAATTGCACCAACTTTTATCAAAGTTGATTTTCATATTGGATATTTGTTCAACGATGAGTACACTCAGGTGTATGGTATTGATTATGTTGAGTTGTTTTCCCTGGTAGCAAAAAATGAACTTTATTTGAGTCCTTTCATTAGTTGCAAATCTGGATTGGGAATTGCACCAACTTGATATCAAAAGTGCATTCTTGAATGGTGATCTCGAAGAGGAAGTGTACATGGTTTAGCCACAGGCTTTCCATGCTAAAGGGTAGTGAAGACAAGGTGTGTAGGTTGAAGAAGTCTTTGTATGACTTAAAATAGTCCCCTAGAGCCTAGTTCAACAGATTTCATATGGTGGTTTAGAAGATAGGAGGGATTCAGGCAGTGCTAGTATGATGACACCCTTTTTTTTTAAAGAGGTTTTAGGAGTAGGACTGCCAAAGAGATGGTTTTGCATCAGAACTCAGAACCTAGTAGAACTAGTCTTGAACCGACAAGGAAAACCATGGACCTGGTACCAACCCAGACCCTATAGGGTCTGTAATTTTGGAACCAGAACCGAGCCGATCGGTTCTTGAGACAATCGGGTCGAACTTGATGGACCTGATTATAACTAGACAAAAATGAAGAGAACACCTATGCAGTCTTGTAGATGGATGGCGGGAGATGAACATACTTGTGAGGAGAAAAGTTAGAAAACAACGTTGAGAGAAGACAGACGGATAACCGACGAGAGATGAACATACCTGTGAGGAGAAAACAACGGTGAGAGAAGACAAAGGGATTGTGAGAGACAGATAGACGAATGATGAGAAATGGATGGATGATGGACGAAACCCTTAAAAAATAAGAAGACATGATGATATCAATTGGCATGACCTGTGGAGATTGGGGAGAGAACATACTAATGAGAGGAAAGCGATGACAAGAGAAGAGAGACAAACGAACAACGAGAGAGGTTAGATTGGATGGACGGACGGATGGATGAACGGTATATTCAGTTTCCAGTGATCAAGTTCACTGCTCAGTGCTCATTGGTTCAAGAAGCTGTAACTGGCAGCCCCTTCTTTTGTTATTGCAATGGAGAAGAAAAGAAATGCTCATTAGTTGAAACCCTACCGAAATGACCATTTTGGACATATCATACTTAAATACTACATCATATGTAATCTATTAAAATTATTAAATACTATATATATTTAATATATAATTACTATATGCCTTAGGGCGGGTCCTAATCAGTTCAGGATAGGGTGGACCCGGTATCGACCTGATAATAATCGGGACAAGAAATTAGGTTTTGGAACCGACCCATTGGGACAAATGTTGGAACCAGAATTGATCTTATTGGGGTCCATTGGGTCTGTTGGGTGATCGGGTCAGACTCGACTGATTGACAACCCTAGGGAGAAGGTGGTTGTGTTGATAGTATATGTGGATGACATCATCATCATTTATCACGAGAAATTGGAGTTTTGAAATACAAAAATTAAAAGAAATTTTGGCTACCCAATTTAAAATGGAGTTGAGGTTGCTCGTTCACAAAAGGGTATCTTTGTTTCTTAAAGGAAGTACATCCTAGGTCTCCTACAAAATACAGACAAACTTGGTGCAAAGCCTACTAATACCCCTATTGATATCAGTCATAGATTGCGTGATTGTGGTGGAGAACCTGTGAAGGATGTGAGACAGTTTCAAAGGTTAGTAGGAAGATTGCTTGTCTCTAACATGCCTTGATATTGCTTATGCTATCAGGGTTTTTAGTTAGTTCATGCATTCACCTAAGGTGTACCACACTTGAGTACTTAGATACTTGAAGAAGTATCTGCCTAGGAACCGGGTTCTTTTTAGAAAGCATGGTCACCAGTCACCTAAAAGTGGAGGCGTATAAAGATACTGGCTGGGAAGGTACAGTGGATGACAGGCAGTCCACCAATTGTAGTGGCTAGAGGCAAAGTGTAGTGGCAAGGTCAAGTGCTGAAGCTGAACATAAGGCTATGGCACATGGGGTTGCTGAAGTGCTTTGGATAAAGAACTTATTGGGAGAGTTAGGGTTTAGTGTTGACAACCCTATGTCTCTCTATTGTGACAAGAAGGCAGCTATAAATATTGCAGCTAATCCTATCCTCCATGATAGAACAAAAGCATATTGAAGTGGACAAGCATTTTATAAGGGAGAAGCTGGAGAATGGTGAAGCGTGCACTCCTTATGTCAACTCAAAGGATCAACTTGCATATGTTTATCAAGGGGCTTTAGTATTTGCAGCACAATGAGCTTTGTGACAAGTCAGACATACACAACCCAACTTGAGGGGGAGTATTGTTAATTGACTGTTAGTTCTTTTAGTTACTTAGGTTGTACCACAGGGGTTTTCTTTACTTAGCTTTGTGACAAGTGTCCTTTCTATTCTTTACTGTTTCTGGATAGAAAACACTTTGTTTCTGCAAATATGGTCTCTTTCTCATTGAACAAAACATAGTTCCTTGTACTTTTTTTTTTCATTTTTCTGTCTCTTGCAAATATTCTAATACTGAAATATCATTGCCTTCTCTACTTATAAAGTAGTTTTTTGGCATGCAATTTCTCTTTTGCTCTATTAAATACTTATTTTATTGCAATGTTTTGTTTCAAATATGAGTCCAACTTGGGTGTATTTCAAATGTTTTCTGCATGTTAAATAAAAAAATCAACCAATCATGTTAAAGACATCACATGGTCTATTTACTTTTCATTGTTTCATGTTACAGAAGGCATACTTACCGTTTTAAGACTTTTAAGAATGTCAAGATGTCAGTGATGTGTCACTTTATCACTGGTGTGTTCATGTTTGTGTTATATTACAACAATTTCCATAGAATACACCATAGATTTTGCCTTCAAATATTTGCAATTATCACATTTAAAATGATTGCCTTTTCAATATGAAATTCATTGTTTTTTAGTAAAGTGTATTGCTATTTTTCAATTTTTTTTTTCATGTAAAGTTCTATCTTGTAGATGGGTATCTACGTGATTACATGCTTCATTGTTGCCTAGAATCATATATATGCACCTTGAAACTAAACTAAATATGTTGATATTTAAAGTCACTAATGATCTACATGTTCAAAATTTCAATACAGTAGGGCGTATCGTATCGTATTGGCAGCTTATTATTATTATTTTTTTGTGGCAGTTCATCAAAACACCTTTTTCAATTCATATTCAAAAAGCTGTTTTTTATATATGTTAAATACCATTAATATTGACTCCCTGTGAAAGCATGAGAGTAGAAAAATTAAATAAAAAAGTTTTCATTCACCTGAAAACTTGCGTGGGGATGACCACTGTAGGAGAAGGAAGATGCTTAGCATGAAAGGGTCTGGCTTTATTTTGAATTCCTAAAAGCCTTTACATGTTTTCTACATCCCCCCTGCAGTCCTGCACACACACACGCCTACCCCAGTAATATTCACTTCTCATGTTCTTCATCTAAGAAAAGAAGAGGCTACCCCATTGCCCTGTTTGTATGCCCTCTAAGGCTTTCAATTATCTTGATCTCTATTGTATTCTACAAAGCAATTTCTTTTGTGGCTCCCTATTTAAACTCTTAAAAAGACATCATCTTTGACTTGCTGTAATTCCTAGCATTAGTTTGTGAGGAAAATACAAAAAGGATGAAGGTACATGTATTCCTTTTATGTATTTCCTGCATATGAAGTGACCAAATATGTGATTCAGTGCATAGTTTCTGATAGTTTTTGATATTTCCCACATGTAGACTGATCTTACTTTTTCATGACATCATGATGGGTGACATTATCATTGTTGAGTTCACACGTTTTGGCAATGTGTCATTGCTGGGCGAAGAACATATGTCAATCCTCAATACCATGATATGTTGGTTCTCTCTGATCTTACTGTATGTAGAACCATGTAGCTTCATTGATTGAAGATTGAAAGTAAAGGGTCTGTAACATTTTGATATTGAAAGATGGCAGTTAAAATTGACATGCAATGTAGGTTGCTCGTAGTGGGCATACTGTGGTCAGAGCAGGTTCTGTATTGATCCTGTTTGGGGGTGAAGATTCCAAAAGAAGGAAATTGAATGATCTTCATATGTTTGATCTAAAGTCTCTGATGTGGCTCCCGCTTCATTGCACGTAAGTATCTCTCATTATATGATATGAATCGCTTGCTACTGGTTTCCATAAAAAGCCCCCCTTGAAGTGCTTGCAGAGGGATGTATCTTCTGTGTTGGTCAAATTGGAGCTTCCCATTACCTTTTTGAGTATCATTTTCAGTTTTGTTTCATGTTTAAATATAATACAAAAAATACTATTTGTGCTGTTTAACTATGGAACTCTTATGCGTATGCAGAGGAACAGGACCATCTGCAAGATCCAATCATGTGGCTGCTCTTTATGATGACAGAATCCTCTACATTTTTGGAGGGTCATCAAAATCTAGTACTCTGAATGACTTGTACTCGCTTGATTTTGAAACAGTATGTTTACTTGAGCAGTTTTTGCTTTTGATTTTCTTGACAAGATTGTCTTTCACAATCATATGGCATTTCTTTTAACAGCTGATAAAGTGGATCTTGGTCTGTTACAAGATTCTAATATAGTAGTTTTAATTTTGCCAGATGATATGGTCAAGGATTAAACTTCGAGGTTTCCACCCATCACCTAGAGCTGGTTGCTGTGGAGTTTTATGTGGAACTAACTGGTATATCGCTGGGGGTGGAAGCAGGAAAAAACGTATGCATCAAAACTGAAGGCATATTATAGACTTATGTTTGCTTGCCATGAGTTAATCATTTGTGGTTTCTCTGTCTGTTTATTGAGGAATGTTAGTAAAGAGTAAGTTTTTGCAACTTTGTCCTGTAGCAAGGCAGGACCCATGAAAAGGCATATGTCCAACTTTGTCTTGTAGAAAAGTTTTAAAGAATTGCATAAACTTGTTGTTTATTGGTATTCATCTTGTTTATTTCTGATTTTTGTGACCTTGGAGGGTTGAATCTTCTAGCTACATTGACCCTCTAATTGGTTGATGTGCCTACTTTATCACTTGGCATGTAGCCAACCCCATATAGCTTGGATAAAACTTTATTGAATTGAGTTGATTATGACTTGATGAATTGAAGAAGTATGGATGATGGAAGGATAAACTCCATCTTCCTTGTGTTAATTAGTGTTGTAAGGTGTTTTTTATTATGTGTTTCAGGTGCAGGGGAGGGGTCTTTTGTAATTTTTCTGTTCTCAGGGACCTCTCTGTAATATTTATTTTTATTAATATAAAAGAGGTCAGAGGGGTCCTTTCTCTGCACGAACTAGATTCAAAATCCTCACATCCTGCTCTCTTTTTCTCTTCTCTTCTCTTTTATTTTATTTCTTCCTCACATCCTGAGGTCAGAGGGGTCCTTTATCTGTGACAGATTACAATTAGCATCAAATTCCATTGGACTATTGACCAAATTGTCATAAGATTAGCCAAGATGCTTAGATCTTTGAAATACTTTTTCTAGTTTGCAAGATAACCTCTTAGGACATAATGAACCTCCAACCAATAAAAATAAGTGGGCCCAGGTCCTTCATCTTAAAAGTTTGACTTGGAAGCAATTTCAGACACAGTATATCAGGGAACTCTTTGTGCTAATTTGGCTTGACAGTTGATGTTAAAATGAGGAGGAAGAAGCATTTTGAGGTCATTGCTGCATGGGTTGTTGGTGTTTATTGTGCTGATGGTCAACAATCCTGAAAGTTGCTTGTCTTAACACAATAACACTATGCAGTGGCCATGGAGGTGTTATCCATGTCAACCTCTGTCAGCCTCTTACAGAGGGCCGTGAGAACAAGCAAATATCATTATGTGGTCTTCACATTACAGTGGCACAAAATGCTCTGAAAAATGGCACCAATGTCAGGTGGGGGTGTGGTGATAAAAAAATCTGTGATGACTCTCCCCTCTTGGCTTGCTGTTCACAAGGCCTTCAACCACCGGGCTATTTTGATTATGATACTTTATTTTTATAATATTCTTGGAAGGAAGAACTGACTGTCATGTTAAAATTTTAAAAGGTGTATTTCTCCTTGTATAGTTTCTGACTGTGCAGGAGCTATACATGTAAATGTTTATGAAATGATTAATACAATACATTACTCTTTCAAAAAAGGTGTTAATTCAACCAACTTGGCTATTTACCATAAAAAAAGAATAAAGAAATTTTATGTTAAATTTCATGTAAGGCTTTAAGCCCAAACTGTCCCACCCAGGTTGGGTTGGGATCATCTAAGGGGGTTTCTGGTCCATGTTTTTTCCCCTGTGGTTGTGAAGCACTAAACAGCTTTTGGGGGTTTGTTGGGCAGATTCTGTGATTCCAGGACCACAAATCCCATGGTCCTGTAATTATCTCCCCTGCTTTATGGTACTAACAAGCTTTTTTCATGTGTTATATAATAATGCCCAGGTGGCAAGTTGCTTGGCCCACAGCCACAAACTCATGCAAGCATGATACCCTCTTTTGGGTTTGCATGATTCAAAAAACTAAAAGCAATAGGCTATAGAATACCACCAAATGGGCTGCATGGTTACAAAAGCCACTTTTTTGCAACTTTGACAAAAGTGGGGCCCAGTTGTTTCAACCATACTGCAGGTTTCCTTATGAACAAACCAAATGCCACCTAAATTCAAAGTAACTTTGGGGTGATTTTCACCTATGTCATGTTAAGGAATTCTGCCTTTTTGGCTTGGCTTTGGTTGGTCATAACCGAAGTCCTCACAAGCAATGTTCAAAGTTTTGTATCGTATCAACAGCTCATTGATACGCCCTTTTAAGGCATTTTTCAGAAGTCTTATTTTAGATGTTAAATACCATTAATATCAGCCCCCTGGGAAAGTATGAGTAAAAAAATTAAAAAAAGAAAGTTTTCCATTCACCTGAAACACCTGATACGCATGTTTGTGTGTATCAGGTGTATTGATACTTTGAAACTTGCTCAGAAGAAACTGCACCTATACATACTGATAATGAATCTCTCTTTCTCTCTCTCTCTCTCTCTCTCAGGGCATGCTGAAACCTTGGTCTTTGATGTGCTAAAAGTTGAATGGTCTGTAGCTGTAGCATCACCGTCTTCTTCTGTTACTGCCAACAAAGTAAGCCATGTTGGTTGACTATTTAATGTGTTCTTTTATGATATTGTTTCTTCTATTCTTTTTCTGATGATACTACTTTGTACTTCTACTAAGTCTCAGACTACATTTCATTTTTCTATTGTACTAGTTTCTGTCTCTTTGGCTTTAGATGCTTGACTTGTGACTTCCAAGTTTCAATCCCTTTTATTTGTTTTGATTCGTGGATAGCAGAAACAATGACCTGGTGGTGTACCTATCAACTTGGTCTGTATTGCTTAAAAAATTTTAGGTCAACATAGCAGTCTTCTACCAGTTCTTAATCAAGAGGCTTACTACTGCCTATCATCCCAGGTCAATGAAGCTTCTATTTTCATTGTCAAGAAATGAGAAAGTGTTCTTTAATCAATGGGTTTCATGTCTGTACAGCATGACTATTGCAATTTTCAAATTCAGTTAGGGGAGTTTCAGATAAGTTTATTTTTGTTGGGAATTGAACTTGTAGCCTTGCATATGAAGGCCATAAAGATATCTGCCTTCGCACATTCAAGAAAGGATGTGCGTTGTCAAATATCCATATTTTATTTAGTGTCTTTTTGAAAAGATTTGAAGGAAAGTTGAAAGGGTGATAATAAAATGGGCCTCCAACAACCATTTTTGTTTTTTTCTGTTGTTTGGTCCTTGGGCCTCTCCCTCTGTAGCCTCTTTCCTATTTTTAATGATTTTCATTTTTCAAAAAGAAAGAAAAAAACAAAAAGGCTTCTGTGGATGTGCACATTGATACTTGTCTAAATAATGAGTTGAAGGTGGTAAATTCACCTCTTCCATCAGCAAGGTGAGAATGGCTTTGAATGGAGAAACTTGTGGGGCATTGGTTGAGATGAGTATTGATGTTGGGGAAGTGTGGTTTGGGCATCTGCAAAGAAGACCATCTACAGCACTTGTAAGAAGTGATCTCTTAGAAGTTTTAGGGGCTAGAAGAGATAGGGGCAGGCCAGAAAGGACTTGGGTTGAAGTAGTAAGAAAAGGACATGGGCAGGATTCAGATAACCAACCCATATAGTTGGGACAAAGCCTAGATGATGGTGATAGTAAATCCAGGCTGGGCCAGGCCTGGCTTAGATAAAAACTGTGTACAGGCTCGGAAATTTCTGTGCCAGAAATGCCTAGCAATACAAATCCAAAAAAAATAGCTGATATTCATGGCATTATTGACACATCATGAGGAAAGTATGACATCTGGCCAGAGAATTGAGGACAATTGTTACCTAAGTTCAAAGACTAGTTGGTTGATGCAATGGCCACACAAAGTGTTAACAGGAATGATTTCTTTTGCAGGAGTATCCCCAATGGTTGTATGTAACATGAAAGAAACTGGTTTAGGTAGTAAGGGCTAGCCTAAAACTTATTGGGTGCTTGGCAAATATCTATTTGTACATCATTCTTTATATCATACATTCATAAAACTTGGATTGTAAACCATTAAAAAAAATTGACATAAAGTCGGCAAGAAGTTGGGATTGTTTTTTTTTTTTTTTTGATAATTAGTTGGGATTGTTCTTTTTTGGTGGTGAAGAATTTTCGAGGACAGTATTTTTGGAATTAGAAGAAAGGGATAAAAGCATAGATTTATCAATCTAATTTGTTGATCGATATAATTTCAATTGCAATGGGGATGTTAGAAGTTTTTCATAGGGTTGCAGGTTCTGTGGTAGGTTGGAGAAGTTAAATTTAAAGGAGTCAAGAATGTATAGGATTAGGGGAAGACTGGTAGATGAGGCAAAGTGATTGCTCTTAGGTGATCACATCTTGGGAATGCTGATAACTGGTGTTGTTAGATAGTGGACAGTGCGCTTTTTCCCTTTTTCCCCTCCTTAGTTGATTTCTTATCACTTGTTCCTGTATTCTACTGTTTTCTTCTTTTAATGGAGTGGATGGTGTGCTTGAATGCAAAGGTGTTCTAATCTAACACTTCATCTGAAACTGTTTCCTTTCTTGTGGTGTTCATTTGTAGTCAGTATAGAATAAACAACATAACCAGTGAGAAACAGGAAAATTTGATCTGCAAAGTTCTAAAGCAACCAAGTTGGTTCAACTATTCTGGAGGTTGAGGTGGACTCTCAAGTAATGATTGGGTGGATGGAGATAGGGGTATAGAATAAACAACATAACCAGTGATTGGGTGTTCATTTGTAGTCAGTATAGAATAAACAACATAACCAGTGAGAAACAGGAAAATTTGATCTGCAAAGTTCTAAAGCAACCAAGTTGGTTCAACTATTCTGGAGGTTGAGGTGGACTCTCAAGTAATGATTGGGTGGATGGAGATAGAGGTGAGGACCTTTGGAGCTTTCATTGTCTGATAAAGGATGTTAGATTTTTGGCTATCAGAGTGAGTATCTTGTTCAGATGAGTATGAAGATATGCCAACTAACTGACATCTTAATTAGAGGTCTATGGTTGAGAGAACCGTACATGGTGTTGGTTCTTCTGGATTAGATTATGGAGTGTGTTGAGTTTATTTTACTATCTTTTGTTATCCTGAATTATTAAGAGATCTTGTCAATCTTGCTGTAGATTAAGAAAAATTCAAATTGCCATCTGAACATCCATAGAAGCAGCTCTATTTTTGCGTTTTTCTTATAGTTGTTATTCTAAATTTGGTTATACTTAGTTACTAACCCTTGTTTTATCATTGTTGTTCTATTGGGCATGCACATATATCTCAAAGACCTGCATTGTTTTTTTGTATTTTTTGGCATAATTGTGTTTGTATTCCTTGTACAGGGATTTAGTTTAGTTCTTGTGCAGCACAAGGAAAAGGTTTTTCTTGTTGCATTTGGGGGATCCAAAAAAGAGCCATCAAACCAGGTTGAAGAAGAAACAATCTTTTCTCATTTTCTTGCATACGTAAATTAATTTCACCGCTGATCTTATTTTTGTATTTACCACTTGCACTGTTGCACAGGTAGAAGTATTGATGATGGAAAAGAATGAAGAACACGTGGACAGGCGATCTACACCTGATAAAGGCTTAGGCCAATTTCTGTTCCAGAATTGCACAAATGCCACAGGGTTAGCTGCTCAATTTAGTGGTGTTCCTTCATGTCCAGTTGGTTCTGTTGCCAGACAAAATTTGGCGTCTGCATTGGAGCATCATGGCTCTGGCAGGAAATCTATTTCAGATTGCTTACTTGACACAAATCCTACCTCTGGCAATGTATCACTTCGTAAGCAATTTCATAACGAGGAAGAATGCAATACATCTCTTAAAATACTGAAAAATATTGAAGATGAAAATTCTTCCTCACAGGTAAATCACGTGAAGTTTGCTCCTATGATATTGCCTACTAAGTTTCTATTAACCATAACCCTTGCTATCCAAGGAAGGGCACAAAAACTATATGCTGCACTCCATGATCTTGAATCTATTGTGTTGTGTTTTTTGGTCCTAATTCTTGTGATCTGCATGAATGTTAGTATCTTTGAGTTCATTTTCTACACTGTAATTTGTATGTCGTGAATGTGTAACTAGACTAAATTTTTGGTTAAAGAGAAAGGACATAATTTAGGGGTGCAACTTGGGTTGGGGTTGTACACAGAAGTTGTTAAATTTTCAATGGGTCTGAACCTAACCTGAACCCAATATAGTTGAAATTCTTCAAGTTGGGCAACCTAGGAAATTTACTCTAAACTAGGGTTCTGTAGTGCGGAAACAATTTCCTACCCCTGTATTAAAACTCCAGTGTTTTTGACAAGCTTGACTAGGGTTAGGGGTGATCATGAGCTGGGCCGAATTCTCTGGGCCTATGATTTTTTTATAAAATACTAAATATATATAATATTTTATATTATGTCTTGTGATATATGTATAAAATTTATTTTATAAATTATTATATATAATATGTATTATATGTGCCATATTATAATACTTATATATAAAATATAAAATGAAACATAAAATAATGTATATTATATACATAAATAATATATAAATATGTGGCTGAGGCCTGACCTCAAAGTTTGTGCCCGGGCTGAGCTGAAATGATTCACCAGATGTTGGTCCCCAAACTTGATATGGTTGCTTTTGCTTGTCTATACATTCCCTATACTGTATTTCTGAGTAACCTTCAATGGGTGTGGTTGAATTGCGCACTCCTCCATGGATGGTATATTATTTTTAGACCTTATTGCCATGCCATATGATGGGGGTTATATTCTCTTGTTATTTAGAAATAATAATGATAGTCCCATGCAATGGAGCAGAGAACCAAGGTATTGGATATGGGAGTTCAGACTGATATTGCCGGACTTATGAGCTCTGCAGAGGAAACACCATTTGTCTTTGATTCTGAAAACACAAGACCCCTCCAGAAGCAAGCAAATGTAAACCTTCTCTCTGAAAGTGATGAGATTGCAATCCCAGAAACTGATGGTAAATCAGCTCCTTCAAATGTCTATCAATTGTATGATTCAAAAATTGCTGCCCTGGTAAGGAAGAATGGAATTCTAGAAGCGCAGTTGGCGGCTTCATTGGCAGGCCGTGAAGCTGCAGAGAAAAACTTATCTTCTGTCATTAAGAGTCGTCAGGACATAGAGAAAAAGCTGGCCGACACAATGAAGGAGATGGAAATGCTAAAAGAGAAACTAGCAGGTGTTGAACTTGCACAAGAAGAGGCCAACAGCCTATCAAACATTGTCCACTCAGACAATGTGCGACTTGAGCATGATGTAGCTTTCCTCAAGGCAGTTTTGGATGACACACAAAAGGTGTGATATCAATTTTATTCGTGAAATCTTTATCTAACTTAATGACTCGTGTTTTATGAAGTTAACACCTAAATAACGGCACTATTTGTTGTCATCTGGGATATGTAGGAGCTGCATTCAACCAGGGGAGTTCTTGCAGGAGAAAGAGCAAGAGCATTCCAGTTACAGGTATGCCCTCAGTTCTAGTTTATGCATATTGCATGCAAATCTATTTGATTATTGTGGTCCATTTTCCTGGCTACTGAGAAAGGTTGGTGGTGGAATGGCTCAATAATGAATGGGGTCTGATAGGCACAGCCAAGTATGTACTATGTACCAATGTCTTAATTCCTTGCACCTAAACCAAGCCAGAGTGGACCAGGCATCCATTTGTAACCCAGTGTCCAGCAATTGAGACTTTGTCTTCTTTGATTGTTATTTATTCCATAGGTATGTTAACTAGTTGATAATTTGAGGCCTTCGAATCTCAGTTGCATCCACTTTACATGTTCAGGTAGAAGTATTTCATCTCAAACAAAGATTGCAGTCTGTTGAGAACCGAGCACCGACACCCAGGAAACCATTTCACATGTAGAGTTTGGATACTGATTCTCACTTGTTCAACCTACCAAATTGCAGCCTGCTCATTTTCTATTAGCAGAACGCACATGTATATCTCCTGCATAACAATTTATCTGCATCTTCTTGTAGGGATTAACTTGTATATATGCAAAATCTTCCTTGTACTCTTTTCTGTTCATTCAGGATTTCTTTGTGAAACTTGTCTTGGTTCTCTATTTAGTCTATTTAGATCTTCCTAACTACAGAATGATGAAATTTTCGCAATATCTGGTCCTCTAGAAAAACCAAAATTACAGATTCCCACTAGGTTCCTTTTTTTTCCTCTTTCGTTTGGAGGGGGAGGCACTTAGATTGCTTGCAAGGTTACTCCAACCTGTGGATGGATGGGTAGGAGGGGATTCACAGGTTCGTTAGATAATTAGTTAGATCTTCAGCCAAAGTATGAAAACCTAGTTCAGGTTCGTTAGATAATTAGTTAGATCTTCAGCCAAAGTATG